ATCAATCATCATCAATCATCATCAATCATCATCAATCATCATCAATCATCATCAATCATCAATCAATCATCAATCATCAATCATCAATCATCAATCATCAATCATCAATCAATCAATCATCATCAATCATCATCAATCATCAATCATCAATCAATCATCATCAATCATCAATCAATCAATCAATCAATCATCATCAATCAATCAATCAATCAATCAATCATAATCAATCATCAATCAATCAATCAGTCAGTCAATCAATCAATCAATCATCAATCATCAATCAATCAATCATCAATCATCAATCAATCAATCATCATCATAATCAATCATCAATCAATCAATCAATCATCAATCAATTAATCAATCAATCAATCAATCAATCGATCGATCAATCAATCAATCAATCAGTCAATCAATCAATCAATCAATCAACAATAACGTGTTAAATCTGATATTTAGATATGGTCTGATAATAGATTTCATGATGGCGTTTAGATTTTCTGTTCGACTAATTTGTAAAACTTATGAGAACTACTGAAACTGAAATGTCTGTTTGATGTAAGATCACAGTTTTGAAGCAATATGTGGTCATTATGTCGAAAGTGATTGAATCAAAAATTTCCTAGATCACAAAACGTTCGTAATACATTTTGGAAAAATCAATTTGTCCGCTTTCCTACACTTTAAATATTTAATGTGATCAATGATTACTGTCTCACTGTCACCTAAGTGGATGCTTGTGCTTTCCTCTAGGTATCAGCTAACTTCTATAATTTGAGGATAGCGATTAAAATCTATGGATCATTGAACTGGTTAAATCCAATAACTTACTACATGATGAAAGCTATTCAAAATGAACGAAACTTCACAAAGCCAATAATGGTGTGATTACTTAGGACACATAAAATTTTACAATTTCAGTTGTTCAAGTAATTGTTTGTCGGTTCCAATCGAACTGAAACTTTATTTTGATACGATTTGATTATTTGACATGAGTAAATTTGAAAACGAATGCAAAACATCACCAATCCGTGGTTAAATATTAAGTTGTTGAGACCATAGAAAAACATCGAAGTCTGTCTATTTGACGCAAAGTAACTACAATGATTTTGAGCCAATTAACAAATTCCATCTCAAAGTGTAAATAACTGTTGCGGCTTGTTTTGCAGTACATCGCATGACGTACCCTTAGTTGAACACAACCTAACCTATGCGATTTTCACCTTTAAGTACATTCGCATCCGTTTTCGCCAACTATTCACCTATTATAGGATCCAAACTACGCTTTGGATGTTGAAGAATAGCCGATAGGGGTTTTAGACACGCGCCCTTTCCCGTCGAAATCAGAACAAGCATTGTTTGTTTAAACGGGTGTGTACATGTGACTATATTTCTTTGTCACACAATATATTCGTCATGAGTCTTTAGCATGGTTCTTTACTGCACCTCTTGCAATCGGTCTGAATTGATGAGAATGGTATGACATAGAAAGTTAGTCACAGTCAACAAATGTCTCTAGAATAATCCGTATGTAAGATACTGAGTGATAAAAGTCTGAACTTCATGAGAAGTATGCGTTTTCTGAATATTCCCTGTACACAAATCAAGATGACAGTTGATATTAAGAAATGAAAACCTGCATTCACTGCTTCCCAATGACAACTTCTAACCTCGTAACACAAAACATACTGAAATGACTATGTCAAGCACACAAAGGTTATTCAAGTTTGTGGACGGAAAAACTGACTCATTATTTAAAAGCCACATCTTCACCTCACCATTTATTCGCTTATCAACCCTCACTGATTTTATATGATCGAACGTGTGGTAATTGCTTCCCTATGCATCACGTTTCCTTCACATCTTTTTGATCTAACCACAAAGAATGAGTTTCACTTAACGAAATCGAGCAGCTTACCACGCCTTTTTTACTGCGTATCACTTTGTTTGGTTTTCTCTAGTTTATTTCTCCGATTGTCTGTCTGGATCAATGCGAGTGTGAAACACACGTTCAAAATGCATCCTCGCATTTGGCTCACTTTTTCACTATTGTCGAAGAAGAATCAAGTTCATCAAAGTACAGGAAGATTGTTGGCACGTATATTCTGACGGCTAACAGTATAGGGTCTTACTGGAGTCAGACATCGGGCCAGTAATGCAGATATGACTATGCCTGATATTCGATGACCGATTAGTGTTCAAACGCTAATTTCAATTTCATACCGCATTTGTGTTCATATTTTTCAACATGTCATGTTCAATGAGACTCACGCCAACAGACCCTTACTCTGCATACAGCTGGAAAGAAATGCATCACTCAAATGAAATTTCTGTTGCACATCATTTAACTTGAAACACTTCATCGTTTTTCTACATTGTAGGTTGTATCATACGTTTGGGTTCTGTATTCAGAGTGAGCGAATCTTTCAGCTATGATGTTGGTTCTTTTCTGTTGTAAGATAGCACACTAATCATTTAACTGTTTCGAGTGAGAAACTTACAAACCAGTTTATTATAGTGAGAATGTGACCATTCGCTCATCCATAATTTTTGACATGATTGTCGAGGTAATGGACTGAAATCTGCTTTCCAAACTCTCTATTACAATTCATTACTATTTAAAAGTAGTAATCATGAAGGTAAGGTGAAAGACACGAAATTAATCTTTACTCAACCGAACGTCGTTAATTTATATGTTAGGTTTGTTTCTTCCTATAATCTAGACCTGTGTTTAGTAATGCCATTTATTTATTTATTTATTAACTAATAAGAAATGGCTTACATTTAGTGACCAAACATCAAAACACAAACATCTACTCGTCACAATAATACAAACAGGTTTAATATTAACATTAACTAAACCCATTTTTCTCTCATGTAATGATCTTGAGCTCGCATTTAATGTATGTTTGTGCTACAGATAGCGTCATGGTCGCTTGTTCTGTGTTTATTGTTTTCATATCATCATAGACCATCCCCTGTAAGAATGATAAACTGGTGAGGTAGACTGTCAAAGTGCCATGATTTTACCACATTTATTGAGTTTACTCACCATCATTGCAATAAACTTGGCATAAAATTTTACATTCGCTTGCTTGGTATTTCATTAAGATTTATTTACCGAAGGTTTTAGTAACACTTCTTTTGTCTTCCATCATTCCCACTGTTACTGTTTTTCACCCCACTGTCAGTTGATCAAGGATTTCAAGAAAAAATAAGCGTCCGCCGTCCGACTGATTTCGATGTGCCATCTAAATTCATTTCAATCATCCATACATTAGATTTTTGAACTCACCTTGTCAATTGAGGCTCATGCATATATGAACACAGATAAAGTAGAACGCGTAAATGAACTGGAATAAGCAATATTTGTTTGAAGAAAATGTTATCATCGCTTCGTGACAAATTAAAGCACCTCACTCAGTGATATCCGAAGTTGGGGTTTGTAGTTCACGACTCAAACATCTGATATCGAGCTAGTTTGTTTTCAAAAGCTTGTGAATTCATTAGTCACACCGAAATATCTAGACATGAAATGGAGACTTTTTGAATATTGATTTTAGGTGAACAGCACACTGTATTCATAAAATAAATCAGGAGAAGAAGGGAACATCTTAAATGTCAAGCCAATTCATCAACACGTGTTCAGATTATAGAAGAGCTGAAGCAACCCTAAAGAAAGTCGTCGTCCACTGGTTTGTAGATGTTTGAATGAAGTAGGTTTTTGAAGTGATCACTCATGTATTTATTTAAGTTAATCTAACCATGCACATGATTAGTAATGTAAAGCTTTGAGATGTTTTAACAGTCACTACTCATGATTAAGCGGATATCTGTATTTTTTGGTGTTCCATCGCGTTAACCGAGAAAGAGAAAGCTGATTTTTTACTTTGAGGCCACCATTAACATTCGAAACAGTGTTGAAAATTGGGAACAAATCGGTAACAATGTTGAAGAAAACTTGTCCGAGTGTAAATCTGTTGACGATTAAGGAGATGGGTAATTTATAACTGGAGCTGGTCACTGTGTATCGAGTTTAAAATCATGACGGTCAACAAAATTTCCCAACTTTTCGAAACGAAGTACGCAAAGTGAACCCCAAATTCGATTTACTACATTTCATCTCAAGCAGATAACCTAAAGCAGCAGTGAGTCTCTAGTCAAACTATATTTAATACCGATATTAAAAACTGAAATCATTTTGGCAAATCTCAACACCTGTAACTTATCAGACAGCGCTCGCCGTGCATTCGTGAAATATGCCTGCGTAACAACATGAAAAGTATTGAAAATAGCTGTGTTTCCATAGATCACAAGGAGTGGCAATCTTTGTGAAAGCTTATAAAGTTTATCTTCTAGAGTTCACAGACAAACATCTTTCAAATGAACCATACGGCACACTTTAGAACAATGAAGTTGAATGAAAACATCTTCAGTGACAACCGTGGAATTTGTGTGCTCCAGAATCCTGGGATTCAATGTGCAACGCTGAATTTTTGTCAATCGACAGCACTCAACACACGCAACTAACCACTTTAATCAAAGTATAAGAATCTTTTATGAGACTGAGAAAGAAAAATCCACTTTAGGTCTTTTAGAGGAATAAGCTTTGAATGTAACTATTGGCTGTATACTGCATCCATCAACAGTGAAAACTTGGAAAGAATCACAATCACTGTAGATAATAGCGAGTTAATTATAGTTTGTCACACAGCATTTGCTGAACAATGAATAATGAAGTGAGGACGGGTGAACGTGCCTAATTATGTATTGATGAGGTGTTCTGAAAGATCAATTTGCAATCATGACCGTCGTCAATCTCAAATGATATTTTTCAGTTGTCCGACGGCATATTGACGAAAAATTTCCAACGTCATTATTGATGATTTATATAATCACAAATTCACGTAAACGCAATCCTACTAATTCAAGAACAAAATGTTGTCAAACTCTCGTAAAACAAGTCAGTTTCTATGGTATAAAGAGAATGACGCAAATAATAAAAACCGTGTTTGGTATTTTATTACAAAGAATACATCAGCTATAACATAAACAAGCACAAAATGTACATCGTTCCGTGAAGAAAACTTCAGACCATTAAAATAAATAAATAAATTCAAAACTGTTTATTGAAATACAAATAAGAAAAAAAACTTGGTCAGAATATTTGAATCTAGTTATATGACTTTGGTGAAAATCATTCACTACTTCTCTTTCTTTCATGCAAATGTTTCCAGGTAACATATCCGGTACATGCAGCGATAAAGATGATCAGGGGAATTATTATAAACAGGTACCAAAGTGATTTGGTCTGTCTACTTTCTTGACTTATTTCAGCAGTCGTACTCTAAAAAAATAAAACAGTAGCATTCATTACTAAATTTCAAATATTTACCGAGTATTGATCAGTTTGTTCGGTAGTTTCATTGAGGTTTCCACCAACCTCATTTTCAGGAATCCCCAATGTTGTTGCTTTGTGATTGATGGGTGTCGACGTTGACGATTCGACAACATCCGGGCTCTTATAAATAAACAAAAAAAGTAGCATTTATCACTAAATTTCAAATATTTACCGAGTATTGGTCAGTTCCGTTGGTAGTTTCCTTGAGGTTTCCATCAACCTGAACTTCACGGACCCCAAAGGTTGTTGCTTTGTGATTGATGGATGTCGATGTACTCACATCGTTTACATCCGGGCTCTTTTGAGAAAACAAAACAGTAGCATTTATTACAAAACATGTAATAATTTTTGAATAATTCATTACGCATTACTGTCAATAGGAGTGATAAAACACAATTAAGCACACATTAGCAAAATGTGCATTTGTACAATCATTCAGAACATCTACCACCGATTTGACAATCAGTTAAACAAGCACATACTTTATAATGGCAACCATTCACTTTAAAGAAATGATGATCCTGATGATTACTGTCAATGCACGTGTTCCATTTCTCACACCAAATACATGTTATATTCGGTGTTGTTGCTTTTTGGCATGCTTCACTTGAATTTTGTATTGGACAAATTGCTGTAAAAGTAATTAGGTGATACTACAATTCGAATTTTTAAACAGAAGTAAAGAGAATTACAATACATGCAACTATAACTCAGTGTCATGATAGTGATTTCAGTGTTAAGTGAGTATTTCATCCACTGGATATTTGTTATCACAATACATAATGCAATTGTCAGTATACATTCAATTTCAATAATGTTTCACAACGGCATGTTTGGATTGAATGAAACAAGTTTGAATGTCAAGTTTGAACGATGAATTCCGACTGGCGAGCTTCACAGATTTCAATGACTGTTTACATTCGGACACGCATACACGATGCTTACATTGGGTTCAGCAAAGCCTACTGCATACTATGCTTCATCAATGCACAGTTTCTTTTCACGAAAGCAGTGCTGGAATTTCAGTTGTTCTTAGACTAAAAATCCAATTCAATCATGGTGATTCAGTTGAACATTAAATAATGATAGACATTATTTTTCAATCATCATTGCCGTTTTTTCCTGAAAAATGTTTAGTTGTTCTACTATGAGAAAACATATCAAAGTATGTGGTCGCATTCTGGTCTGTGTGCTGTCGATTAATGCAACCGACTAGTTGGGTCAAAGAAAATTCGTCGATGATGAAGATAATATTGTATTCGATAAATATGAAGGCGATTTGATCATTGGTTAATGGAATGACGCTAACAGTGGTGGAAATCTTATTTCGGTTGTCTTAAGCATTGCGAACTGAAATCTGTTTTAATTTACTGAGTGTTCATTCTCAATTTCCTTTTGTTAAATACATCAATAATTCTGAGACTGTCTATGATTAATATAAGTTCGGTGACGTCACATTTCTTCATCTTCACTTTTCGGATATGTATGACAAAGCAGAGATTTCAGAAAGTAGGCAACCGTTTTGATGTTAATCGCAATCACATGCAGTGTTCTTGTGATTTCGATACCCCAGAAAAATTCGATATCACATGTACCAAAAAGGAAAAACAGAAGCTTCCTGGTTAATCCACAATCAAACAACTGTCACTTAATCTTTATCCAGATTGCTGTCAACTCATACATCGTTTTGTGAGTTCGTCCACAAGACTTCAATAATCGTTCAAAATGGATACCTTATCATTCTTGATATTTAAAAGTGAATTGATGTGTAGTTACCAATGGTAAGTGAAACGTATTTTGAGACGGATGCATGGATGTGATTTATTAGCTGACTGCAGTTACAAATGAAATTTTCAGCGTGTTGAAATAAAAAAAATGGATTCAAGTGTGAAAATAATAAATGATGATAAATAAGGTTTAACATACTGCCGATGACTTCATACTCCACTAACGTGCCATTTTTGATCCATTCTTCAGGTACAGCTATCTCATGTTCTGTGTCACCTTGTATGACAAATTAAAGAGAAAAAACCTAACATTTAGATTTCCTTTATGGGCAACAACAGAAAAATTCAAGTTCAACCCTATAAACATTTTTTCACGTTTCAGCTCACAAATAAAGAACATGGAGCACCAAATGAAAAACGAATGATGACTAGCGTTCCTTTTTATTTAAATTGTCGCAGCTGGATATTCATGCATCTCGACGTTGATGTTTACTCGTAGACAAGAGCTGAGGACCATTCAGTTCAAATACCTACGGGTTTGTAAGAAGCGTGAAAAGTTATTTCATTCCTGCTCTGTTACCACAATCTTCCCTTCGATATTTATGACTGCAGTGGAATCCACTGCCAACCACCATCCATCTTTGCCTACAGCGTCGAAGAAATCATCACAGAAAGCGCACGAATCGACAAGAGGCAGGGGAGGGAATTCAAACGAGCAATATAGAAATGAAAAAATTCATCATTTTTAATCACTCAGTAATGCATTTCAACCGAGCGATATATATCACTTGACCAAATATTTGGTGCATTTTCTCACATGTGATCATGAAACACTGTCCTCCACTCATTCACTCAGCTTGAAACTCAGCTTCATCTTTCAACAATACATAGGATTGAGCATTAAGTGAGGGAAAAATAGCTTGAGATGACAATTATCCATCACTTTCATGTATAACACACACTTCGTTATGCATTGGGTGTTGATATGAATGAGAACGGCAAGTGTGACTGTCGTATTGTGAGTAATCGCGTGAAAGACAAGTCGATATTTTATCTGTCTAATTTCGTCGTTCACATATCCCTGCCTCATTCAGTTGATTGATCTCCACAAGTATAAAACCTTTCTAATTACCCACCCAAACTTTTGCGATAAAAAACATTCATACACCTTAGTTACATTAACCCAGATAGCCCGTTATATGAGCCTCAGCAAACAAATGATTGATTTTAAACGTCAACGTACACCAAACTGTTAACATCATTCTTTGCAAAGTTTCCTACCTGTTTCACATTGAAAGATTCCTCGGATTCCTAATATCTGGTTTTCGCTAATTTCCGAAAGAATCTGAAAGAAACATGGAACGAGGATTTGTCAGCACACTACCTCGTATATCAAAACAAATTGATCATTATAGAAATGGGTCTTCGTTCAAATTATCTTAACCACAATTACATTACGTATATTGATATTCTCATTTTCTTTGAAAGTGTGTTCCATCTGGTGTACATAGGTATTCTTAATCACACCAGTAGTCGAATTCATTCAATTTTGACGACTTATCAGTCTACCATGAAATATGATGACATATTGTGAGATGAAAATCTACGTCAGTTGTAGTGAAATGTGATTGATAATAGCTTCAAGAAAGCTGTTCTGCGAATATAAATCAATGATTGTTTCGAAAAGTCGACCATTTGAAGATGGAATGCAGTCTGACAGAATACGATACATTACATACATTATCCTGACATACACTAGTTGGTACTATTTGGCATGAACATTTCACTGTTGCGACTGATATCATTTCACATCAAGTCATTCATATTTTTACCAAGTGCTTGAGTGATTTGTGTTATAAGAAGAATAATTACATAGTCAAATAGTTTGTTGACACATCAGATGTTGATCGTTTTCTATCGAGTTCACTGTAGCTTAATACATTCAACAGTATTCATACACATGAAATAATAGATTGAACTCAAGTACTTGAAGCGAAACTATATGTACATTCAATTTTGTAACTTACGTTATCATAATAGACAGATATCTTCCCATTTGCATATATCAGATTAGTTACTATGGTTGTAGTCTCTACAATTAAAAGGACAACGATACTCACAATTTGAAATCTAGGCATAACACAGCATATGCTCACTCACAAAGTGATCAAAGTTAATGGATAATTATTGAGTTGTGTACAATGCTTTCTTAAGTTGGCTTTGCACTCAAAACATTGAAGTAAGCTCCATGTGAATGAAATGAGCATGCATCCTTCCAAACTAGTGTTGAATGCCTAATTTCTGAATCTGTATTACTACTGAATCACTGAAGGTTTATTACTGCATACTTATTCGCGTGTATTCGCATGTATTACTGTTGTATTACTATTGAATCATTGAAGGTCTAATACTGCCAATTTATTCGCACGTAAGCAATATTCTATATAACTTTCCTTGTAACAATCGACTCCAAGTATGTATGACATAAGTTGTGGAGCGTTTATTTACAAACTCAACTTGAGAATCTCATTGTTTATCTAACATGTGGATATTTAAATCGATCAACTAACTCTGACCACGGTGATTGTTTGTTGTAGATGAGAAACGAATAGATTTAAATGTGTAATCTCAACAACTCAATGTAAAAGAATATATATGATATATAGGAATGACTGTGTAATGAATGGAAGTGTAGATGAATATGATGTGCACAGGATTGGCTTTGTGACAAGCAAGAAACACGATTCATTTTTTTCTGGAAGCAATGATTTACCTTCAAGTTTCATCGAAGCATTTAAACGAAAACGAATTTCTGAACAGGTTTTCAAACAAGCAATGAATATCAATATTTTACATGTCATATCTAATTTTTCCCAGTCTATGTCAACTGAGTTTCAAGTCTCAATTAATGTGATCAAACGGTGAATGGATCTTACATTTGGTTCAACTTCCATTTTCTAGAAAAGTAACAAAGTTTTACTTATCCATTTTCTGAGAACTGAATCTCACAAACATTGAGTGATCACAATCCGTGAAGATGTAAGTGTGCAGGTTTCATATTGGTTGACTTACGTGTACTTTTAAATTCTACATCGAAACAATCGACTCCAAATGTGTATGACATAAGTTGTGAAGTGTTTATTTAAAAATACAACATAAAGATATGGATATGGATATCTATTTACCTTTATTCTGATCAAGGGACCATCTGGCAGCGAAAAATTCCTCTGAATTATTGAAAATAAAAATAGATAATTAAATACGTTTAAAATGAAAATCCATCTGTTTTAATAAATGTACGTTTTAACATAGACTACCTCTGCATACAAGTTATCAATTTCATTCCAACATTTACATGAAATGGTGTGGTGAAATGCTCGATCATCGCTCATGAGGAAGGTTCAAGGATTATTGTCACTTGAACATTTCAATCCCTCTAAGTGAGAAGAATGTTACAATTCCGTAAATTTTTCGCAAAAGGTTTTGACTGACTAATTGTCTTTTGATATTTGTTGGACGTTAGATTTTGTTAATCGTCAATTTGTATAACTGACTGAGATATACGGATGTAAACTTGATGTTCTATGTGTTCTAGTTTGAGAAAAGAATCTTTTACTAGCCGACTTTTCACGTTCGTTCATTAGTCCGCTGTTTCAGAAAGTGCTTGGACTCGAAGACCATATAAATACGAATGTGATCATAGAGATACAGTTGAGTATACGATGGTCGACAGACAGCGACTCATCGACATTAAACTTTTAAGAATCCAATAAGTGCTAGAAAAGTATTTTAGGGCATCAAATAAGACTTTCTAGATTGTCTGCTTCAATAGTACAAACTGATTCAACTCAAAATATCGCTTATTGCTGCACATTTGTTTACTGTTATTCACTTAA